AGACCTGCTACAGGAGCTTGTTATTTAAAGATTGAGTAAAGAAGCACATCTAGACTTTATTTAAAAATTTATTACAATGTGTTTTGGTATGAACTTCAATATAAAGGTTTCCCTCCTCATCCTATATGTTTTATTTTGTTTATTTAAAATGATTCTGACAATGCCAGTACATTTCTCCTGTTGTCAAAGGGGTCCATAGACCCCCAAAAAGGAAGAACCTGAGATGGCTAAGTGTGAGGAGAGGGGGAAAAGTGGATTCTTGGGAGGCTGTGAGTGGTAGTGTCATCAGCGGTAACAGCGTGAGTATGTTCTCAATAATGCAGGAGTGTAGCTCAAGTCCACGAATGTCTGACTCATTTCCTGCCCATTCTCAGCATCAAGGATGGTGTCTTGGCACGTGTTATCCTCGTTGGCTGCTGTAAGTAAATGTAAGTTGTTTTAGTTCTTTGTTGGAACCAGCTCATAGCTGACCTTCCAGTGGGTTTTCAGAAGCTGTAAATCTTGTCAGAGATTGCCCTTCTTTCACCCACAGAGCAGCTAGTAGATTCGAACCACCTGCCTTTGGGTTGGCAGCACGACTCTTGACCCTCTAGGTCCTCAGAGCTCCATTCAAGTAAATCAGGGCTTACTCATTCAACATGACCTTGAAGGCTCTGCATGACTTTGACCCTGCCTCCCTTTCTTTCACTCTGAGTCCTGAAGCCTAAACAACTTTCTTTCCATTTTCAAAGGCGTCCTATTTCTTCTTGTTCCAGGGTCTTTGCACATCATCTTCTTTGCCTGTGGTGTCCTGCTTTATCTTGCTGCCACCAAACTCATTCATACTCACTTGGGCTTCAGGACTCAGAGTGAAAGAAAGGGAGGCAGGGCCAAAGTCATGCAGAGCCTTCAAGGTCATGTTGAATGAGTCTGTGTCCAGTGAGAGATGGACAGCAAGGAGGAGCTTTAAGGGGAGTGTCGACACAGTGAGCTTTATGTTTTGAAGAGAGGAGGCTGGCAGCAGCGGGGAATGAGGATCAGAACTGTAGAGGTGGATACACCGAGAGTGAAGCTCTTTAATGAGAGAGAGAATCGTAGCTTAGACCAGTGAGTCTCAACCTATGTTCAGTGAACATCTACAGAGATTTTGGATTTCCATTCATTCATTGTTGTACTTTTCTCCCCACCCCTCCCCAGTTTGCTCTTCTCCTTGAAAAGCAATAGAAAAACTCCTTCATTGGTGTACAATCCCCTCCGCACACCCCCACCCCCACCCCCACCCCGAGTATACTCTGCAACCCTCATTCCAGACTCATGATAATCATAATGCTCTAAAATATATTTCTTTTAAACTATTCTCTCCCTCATTGGCTTCAGTGCAGTAGACATAATTTATCCAGTTTTTCTCAGTCTTACCCCCCACCCTGATGTCAGCCTCATTCTCTACAACAGTGGCACCATATAGCATTTTTGTCCCTTTGTGACTGAGATACCTCACTCAGCATAATGTCCTCCAGGGTCACCCATTTTGAATAAAATTGCATGAGTTCCTTGTTTTTCAATGCTGCCTAGTATTCCATTGTGTGAATATACCACAGCTTCTCTATCCATTCGTTTGTTGATGGGCACTTAGGTGGTTTCCAACTCCTTGCTATTGTGAACAAAGTCGCGATAAACATGGGTGTGCATATATCTGCTTGGATGTCAGTTATGGTTTCTTTGGGGTATATTCCCAGTAGTGGAATTGCTGGGTCAAATGGTATCTCTGCAACTTTTTGAGAAAGTGCCAAACCGCTTTCCAGAGTGGTTGCACCATTTTATACTCCCACCAACAATGAATAAGGGTTCCAATTTCTCCACAACCTCGCCAGCATTTGTTGCTTGCTGTTCTGTTAAATTTTGCTATTCTTACTGGGGTGAGATGATATCTCATAGTTGTCTTGATTTGCATCTCTCTTAGAGCTAGGGATTTTGAACATTTCTTCATGTGCTTGTTGGCCATCTGGATGTCTTCTTTGGTGAAGTGTCTGTTCATATCCTGTGCCCATTTTTCTATTGGATTATTTACCTTTATTAAGAGTCAAATTTCTTGACATTTTTTTCTATCTTTAATCTCTTGCTAAAAGAGGTTCTTCCTTCCCAAGGATCATAAAATGTTCACCTGTAATTTCTTAGAAGCTGACATTTCATTTTATACTTAACTCTTTACCTAAAACCTATTTTTGTTTACAAAAAGTAATCAGGATTTTTTTTTCTTTTTCCAAATGGTGGGCCAGTAATTTCAACACTGTTGTTGTAGTTGTTATTGTGTACCATTGAGTCAGAACCGACCCATAGCGAACCCTCCGGCAGGTTTTCACAGGTAGGTGGTTAATCTTTCAGGAAGAGATTACCTGTCCTCCTTCTGCGGAGCAGCTGGTGGATTCGAACTATGTGCCTTCAAGATTGCAGCAGAGTTTCCTGCCACTAGGCTACTAGAGCTCTTGAGTTATTGAATAATACATCCTTTATTTACCACATCCCTTTATTCTATACTGAACCCTGTATGCATGAGTTCAGTACTGGATCGCTTCTTCTTTACATATCTCTGTCTATTCTTGAGCCTAGATCAGGCTGTTCTAACAACTGTAGCTTTATAATGTGCTTTTAAATTTGATAAGGCAAGTCTAAGAAAGTGCCCATGTATATGTGTGTGTAAGTATGTACGTTTGTTCTTTTGTGTGAAAGATTTATGGAGAAGCGTGTTAAGTGTGTCTGTGTGTGCATGCGGGTGTATACTTTTATATGGAAAAGTTTGACAGGGATCTTCTAATTTGGATAATCAGAACTTGCTGGCAGTTTCAAAGAAGTTAGAGTCAGATTCTGGAATAGAGCTTGCAGAAGGTTTAAAATAAATAAAAGGAGAGGTGGAGACTGCCAGGCTCTCAAGAGAGTTTGGTGCCCACAAGGAGACCTGTAGTTGGGGGCTTCCAGAAAAGAAAGCTGAGAGAATGGTCTAAGCTCTATCATTTTTGGACCTTTTCATCTTTCCTCCTCTCATTTAGGGAGGAGACACAGGAATTACACCCTAGCTTCAGGTGTATCTTCAAAGGTGAAGGTTTGGACTCATCCAGGTTCTGATGAGGTTTTAATGTGGAGTAGGTTGGGATTTTAATGTGTGCAACTTGTTAAACTTCTTGTCAGAAGCCATAAACACGTGTCATTCTGTGCTCTCTCATCCATAACTGGATAAAGCATGCTGCTCCTAGGTCTTGGACTGCCAACCATGTGAGCAAACAGGCAGCCAGCATGAATTTGTCAAGTCAGACTCTTGGGACATTTGAATATCCTTGGAGACAGGGAGGGGACTGGAGGACGCACGTGGTTTCATTAGAAAAGACTTGGGCCAGAGGATCAGGGAGCAGAGAGTACTTGGGATCAGAGGACCAGGGATCACCTGTGGCTACATTAGAAGAGATTCCCGGGACATTTGAATCACTCCTGTCTCTGTGCTGCATTTTGCCATCTTTCCTTCTGGATTTCTTCCAGGCTGTACTTGCCCTGGGTTTTGAACTGAGCACATTTATTATATAAAACGGGTGGGAGAGCTCTGTTCTCAACACCTAGAGAGAACATCACTGGAGATGTGTGGCTTTAACACACGAGGAAGGATGCTTTATTTTACTTTATGCTCAAGAGCCAGGCTGCATACCCACTCCCCAGTGTCACAGGTATTTGCCCCCTTCGCCCTACTCATAAGGAGAGAAGGGGTCATTCCCTGGCACAGGGCCCACCGTCTGGGGTCCTCTGCTCCCCCGGGGCTGTGAGCACCTGTGTTTACACTGAGTGTCCTCTCCCTGCTGTGCCCCCAGTTTGAGTCTGGGATGCAAGTTAAGGAAACTACAAGAGCGATCTTTTGGACTTGATACGCGGTAGAGGTGGGGGGAGCCCTGCAGGGGACCCCTCTCACTCCACTGAAGTTTAGGTGCTAGTGGGGAGAACAAGAAGAGGGAAGGGGGAGCGCCCTTTGGCCTGGGGAGAAACGACCCCCTTGGAGAAGTTAGAGGTGATCCCCGAGAACGCAGTCCTCGCTCTCTCTTGTTCCCCTCCCACCGATAGGGAAGGGTGGAGGCATCAGGAACTGGCAGAAGGAAGGTGCCAAAGCACTTGGCCTTGGCACTGACACGGGGCGGTCCCGGCCCGGCTGCCCCGCCCCGCCCCGCCCCGCCCCCGGCCTTGCTGACGCCTCCTGCGCGCTGGCCTCCGGCTGCCACTGCGGCAGCGCCACAGCCGCCCGCACCAGCGCGCAGGTACGAGCAGGGGGTCTCCGCGGGGCCGAGAGCGGGGTCTGCGGGCGGGGAGGGGCGGGAACGGGGTCGGGGTTCCGCAGCGGGCCGGGCCGCGAGCCCCACATCCCTCGGCGTTGCGCGGTGGTCCCCAGCGCCCCCAGCATGTCCGCGGGCCACCAGATGCCCGGGGCGCTGGCATGGCTGTGAGAGAGGACGCCAGCCAGAATGGGATCCCCGCCAATCCTGGCCGGACCCCGAGGCCCCCTGGCAATTTATGTGTAGCCAGCAGTTAAAGGTACCCCCTCCGGGGCCTCCCGCGGGCCACTCCAGGCTCGCAGGGTGCGTGGAAACCTCCGTTTGCGCGTGTGCTGGACGAAAAGGCTTTCCTTCCATTCGTTCTCACTCTGATTGGCATGCAGAGGTGGGGAGAAACTGCTTTAAAAAAAAAAAAAAGAAAGAAAGACAAGTAAAAAAAAAATTTTTTTTCTCAGTTTAAAGTTTCAGAAACCCTTTTCCTTCTTTCCATTGAGGGAGGAGACGCCAGACTTAACGCCCTAGCTTGAGGTGAGTGTATCTTCAAAGTTGAAGGGCTTATCAGGTCTCTGATGAGGTTTTGACGCAGGCAATGTGGAGTAGGTTGGGGTTTGAACGGGTGCAAGTTTGGTTTTGGGGTTTATTTTGCACTTCTTCAATCACAGGCCCGAAAGCAAGTTGTCACTCTGCGCGCTGTCTGTCCCCTGCACTGGAAGAAGGATGTTCACCGTGCTGACGCGCCAGCCCTGTGAGCAAACAGGTTAGTAGCCCGCGAGGTTTCTGCAATTCCCAGCCCAAAGGATCTCATCCGTGGCTGCGGCAAACGAGCCTCGCTGGGCAGAGACTCAATTGCATTTCACTACCAGCATTCCTCAGATAAAAGAAAGTAATGCTTTTTTTCCCCATCAAAGATGCCCAAAGGAGTAGCACACACTTTTCGCTTTAAAGCTTTTCCCGGTTGGTATAATCCATTAATTTGGCCCTCGTGGTTTCCCTTACACAGCGGTGGGAAAGATTAGCTTTAGAATTTTGTTGGCTTGGTGATGAATCCAGGGGGGTTGCATCCTACCCGCATTCCCACCCAAATGTTACTGGCACAAAGGCAACAGCGCACAGCAGCCTGCTTCTTTCCACCTCCTGGCTGGGCCAGGGGACTCAGCATTGTGTAGCTTATAGATTGCAGAGGCGGTTTATGTGAATGCAGAATTCACCTGCACACAGGCAAACGGGGCCCCACCTGCATTCGATGGAGGCTCTGACTTCTACTCTCAGGTAAGCACCTTGTAATTACAGTGTTTGTCTAGCCCCGATGGCAGTACAGCTCTGAGTTGCCTGCCCGGAATGAATGGGGCCCAGTCGGGTCCATTTGCTTTGTAATAATCCTCTCTGCTGGCCAAGGGTCTGCTTAAGGTAATCACCGCTTTTAACCTGAAAACTGCTGAGGCACGTGGATGTGGTCAGACGGCTGCTGACACATCATTTCCCTCCAGTCTTCTCTAGTTGTGCCTCCTAAAAAAAGGATACCTTTTTAGGATAGTGGGAGTGATTTATGAGAAAGGAAATAGTGTGTAAGGAGCTGGCCAGCTGTGATTTTTCAGGTTTCTCTGCAAACACTTGGCCATCGCCCCCCACCCCCAATGCTGCAACAGCACACAGATAGACAAATTGCTACATTCCTTCCAAAGGACAAGTTTAACTTGGCAAGATTAAACCTCAAATTATCCAGTGTGTCTTGTGAGCAGGAAAAAAAAAAAAGAAATCCCTTAAATCTCTCTAACTGACACAGGCATTCTTTAAAAGTTGATACAAAATGAGGCCTCTGTGGATAAACTGGTTCCTGGCTGGTTCATGCACTTTTTTTTTCTTCTTCTGGATTCAGATACAAGTGATTTGGGACCCTTTAGAGGCCCTGAGATCAGCCTGGCAGGGTGTGATGTTCTGGCTGGACGGGCCCTATCCAGTTGGTGTTCTAGCAACACTTCAGTGAGCAACCTGTGTGTAAGTCATTTTACACGCATAGGGCTAGCTCTGTGGGATCAGTTCCCACAAGGAAGAAATGCGTGGTATGTGTACTGACAGTTTTGGCAGATGTTGACATATTGCCTGTCATCGATGCTGTACATATCAGTTTACACTCTTTCCAACAAGATTGGAACTGACTCTGCAGTGGGTTTGCAAAGGCAGTTAAATCACACTGGACGTTGCCCATATACTCTCACAGAGCAGCTGGCGGATTTGAACTGCATGCTTTCAAGATTGCAGTGCAGCGTCTTACCACTAAGCCACCAGAGCTCCTTACAGACAAGGCAGATGAATCAAAGTGTTAAGTGAGGGAGCTCTGGTGGCCTAGTGGCAAGACGCTGCACTGCAATCCCAGAGGTATGCACTTTGAATCCACCAGATGCTCTGCTGGAGAAGGAGGGACAATCTCTTCCTGTACCAGTCAGATCCGATTTGACGGTGCACGCACACAAAATTATAAAAGAAAAAAATTTTTTAAAAAGTGTTACATGAACACCTTTGCTATCAGGCAGTTTCTACACTGACTGGTGATCAGATAGGGCAGGCAAAGTGGGCTGCTCTGAGCTAATCAGACCTCCTACATGGCCACAGGGACTGGGAGGTGTGATTAGATAGCACAACTGAGTCTCATTTCCATGGCGACATACATATGTCTTTTATTTCTACCAAGAAAATGTCTCCTATAAATAATGAGAGGGTAAACCACAGATTATGGTGGTCTAGGAGTAAATGTTCTGGAATAGGGCAGAATCTGAGTACTTTGCTTTCTGGGGAGATGGAAAGCTTCTATAGTTATGTTGGCCCCTGTAGTATGTGATTCTGGAGCACTTGAAATATGGCTGGTGTGACCTTGAGATTGTGTATTTAATTTCATTTTAATGTGTATTTTTCAATGGAATAGAATTGAGAACCCGGAAATCAGCCCATCTATTTATGGGCAATTGATTTTTGACAAAGAGATGAAATCAGTTAGGTGGGGAAATGACAGCCTTTTTAACAAATGGTGTTGGCAAAATTGGAAAACTAT